ATGCAGGAAAACTATGAGATTGTGACCTCGCTGGGTAAGGATTCCCGTCCCTTCGGTTCTTAGAAGGGGAAATGCAGACTTAAGGTTCACATCACCCCACAATTCCACCTCTGCTCGGCCCTGTTTCAGCATCACCCCGACAAGCCAGTGACACGCACACTAGCTCTCTGCCCTCCCCTGCTACAGAACACTCTGGGAACAGGAGCAGAACAGCACAAAGTCTAACAACTTCTCTTTACACATATGCCACCAGGCTGCAGACAATCTCCATGACAAGAACACGCCCTTGTGAACCTTCACTGACACAACCTACAACACTGAGCATGAAAATGAGGCAGATTTGGTTCCCCCAAGTTCCACGCGCACCTCTCTTCATATCAGTCACAGCTCTGCCAAGCTGCTCCAAGTAATCCATCCAGCATCATATTCTAGCTAGAGATGACGGCGTGCACACAGCTGGAGGACATGCAGATAAATGCCAGTATTCCCATCTGTGCAACACAACACAAACACTGACAGGTTCTTTTAGTCCTTCTTCATATCTCTTGTAGATGTATAGGTTTTTATGGCCAGATGTGACTATTAGGTCATCTAGTCTGACCTCTTCTGTAACACAGGCCACAGAATTTTATCCAGTTACTGCTGTGTTGAGCTGAATACCTTTGACTAAATCATCTTCCAGAAAGGCATCCAGTCTTGACCTGAAGACTTCCTGAGATGGAGAAGATACCACTGACCTTCATAGTTTGTAAACCTTTGCACCAGCCTTACTGAACTGTTTCCAGTGGCGAGTGCCAACTCCAGGGACAGGGAAGGGGCAGAGTTAAAGTTGTGTTGGGGTTATGGCATGTACTTTAACTTTAGCTCCCATCACATGCTGGGAGGGCAGGAGGCAGCACTGGGCCTCCTTAACTCTGCATTAATGTAGTTTATGGGCATTTATTTACCTTGATTTTATTCAATGTTTTTTTTTGCCACTATGACTGTGTGTACCCTAGAGCTTTTCCCTGCCCATCGGTCTGTCCACCCGTGCTCTGTCCATTCTTCCACTGTCTGTCTCCTCAGATCCCTTCACAGGGAGGAGGATTTAATGCCCAGATCTGTGGTTTACATGTTTTCAAAGTCTCCCTTCAGCTTCAAAAACCCAAGAAGAGCCAGGCAGCCCCCAGCCCCTCCTGACCCCTCTCCCTGGCAGCTCAGCTGGGCCCAGACCCCTCCCTCACCTGACATCACAAAGGGACTGTGGGATTCCCTGCCACCTAGGTAAGTAGACAGTGAACCCCACTCCAGGGGCCTGGCCTGAGCCTGCCAGCCCTTTGAGAGAGGAGCCACCCCCAGATCCTGCTGGGTGTCCTGAATCTAAGGGTCACCAGCACTAGGGAGCTGTCAGGGGACCGAACAGCCTGTGTCTCTGGGGCTGGTTGGCTGGAGCTGGCTGAGGAAGGAGCAATGCAGAGGGATGACTGCAGAAGAGAAGCTGAGTGAGGAGTGTGGTTCTTGGTGAGACAGCGGCCTTTTCCTCCTGCCCAAAGAATCCTGCACAGAAAAGGCACCAGGGCATTTTTTGTGTCATTTCCTAGAGTTTTAAAGCTCACAACCTGAACAAAGAGGAATTGCACCATGTGGAGCCGTTCTTACCTCCCCACGGGTCATCAGCCGAACAGGGCCATTCGCTGCACCACGTAGAGACCTCTGCCCCTTGAGGTAGTAGCGTAACTGAGAGCAGTAGGCTGTTCTCCTGCATGTGGGCCAGCCACTAGAGGGGGTGAGATAGAGGATGCTGTGGAGTCAATACCACCTAGATCACAAAAAGTTTAGCCCGAACAGGGAAATTAGCTGGTTAAATGGGACATGAGGAAAATAGAGAAGTTGTCACCATTGGAGTAAAAGAAGTTCACATTGTCTGAGGATCTGGCCCATTTACTCCAATGGAGGTAGGATGATTAACATCAGCTGGGGATCTGGCCCATCTGCTTGTCTTTTCCCAATCCTGTCGCAGACCCTAACAGCTGTTGCTGCCCCTCGGTCCCAGCTGTGAGGGGTGTGAAGCCCTTCCATTCTGCAGTGCCTAGTTCACCTACATCTGAGGGACTTCAGCTGCCCTCTGTCCCCAGGGCCCCCCACTCCTAATACAGCTCATAGTGCTCATGGGGCCTTCTGCCAGGAGAGGTTCATTGCAGGGTGATGGGTCCCTGTTTGCCTGTTCTCTCTAGCTAGGACTGTCCAGGGTGCCCAGAACTGGGGTGTCAGAGCACCGTGGTCCTGTGTGGAGTTGCCATTCACCTTCCCCTCTTTTGGTCTCATCTTGAATCCAGCCTTTTTTCTCTCCACCATCATCCTAAACATGCCGCACTTGCCTCCTGCCCCCTGTAAGAGACAGTGTCCCTGTTGTGTATAAATAGGCTTCTCTGTAACCTTTGCCTGCTTCCCCCACCCCATTTCCTCACCATTCATAGAATCATAGAATATCAGGGTTGAAAGGGACCTCAGAAGGTCATCTAGTCCAACCCCCTGCTCAAAGCAGGACCAATCCCCAACTAAATCATCCCAGCCAGGGCTTTGTCAAGCATGACCTTAAAAACCTCTAAGGAAGGAGATTCCACCACCTCCCTAGGGAACCCATTCCAGTGCTTCACGACCCTCCTAGTAAAAAAGTTTTACCTAATATCCAACCTAAACCTCCCCTACTGCAACTTGAGACCATTACTCCTTGTTCTGTCATCTGCTACTACTGAGAACAGTCTAGATCAATCCTCTTTGGAACCCCCCTTCAGGCAGTTGAAAGCACCTATCAAATCCCACCTCATTCTTCTCTTCTGCAGACTAAATAATCCCAGTTCCCTCAGCCTCTCCTCATAAATCATGTGCTCCAGCCCCCTAATCATTTTTGTTGCCCTCCATTGGACTCTTTCCAATTTTTCCACATCCTTCTTGTAGTGTGGGGCCCAAAACTGGACACAGTACTCCAGATGAGGTCTCACCAATGTCGAATAGAGGGGAATGATCACGTCCCTCGATCTGCTGGCAATGCCCCTACTTATAAGGCCCAAAATGCCGTTAGCCTTCTTGGCAACAAGGGCACACTGTTGACTCATATACAGCTTCTCGTCCACTGTAACCCCTAGGTCCTTTTCTGCAGAACTGCTGCCTAGCCATTTGGTCCCCAGCCTGTAGCAGTGCATGGGAATCTTCCGTCCTAAGTGCAGGACTCTGCACTTGTCCTTGTTGAACCTTAGCACATTTCTTTTGGCCCAATCCTCTAATTTGCCTAGGTTCCTCTGTATCCGATCCCTACCCTCCAGCGTATCTACCACTCGTCCCAGTTTAGTGTCATATGCAAACTTGCTGAGAGTGCAGTCCACGCCATCTTCCAGATCATTAATGAAGATATTGAACAAAACCCACCCCAGGACTGACCCTTGGGGCACTCCGCTTGATACCGGCTGCCAACTAGACATGGAGCCATTTATCACTACCCATTGAGCCCGATGATCTAGCCAGCTTTCTATCCACCTTATAGTCCACCTTATAGTATACGTCTTTAACTTGCTGGCAAGAATTCTGTGGGAGACCGTATCAAAAGCTTTGCTAAAGTCAAGGAATAACACGTCCACTGCTTTCCCCTCATCCACAGAGCCAGTTATCTCATCATAGAAGGCAATTAGGTTAGTCAGGCATGACTTGCCCTTGGTGAATCCATGCTGACTGTTCCTGATCACTTTCCTCTCCTCTAAGTGCTTCAAAATTGATTCCTTGAGGACCTGCTCCATGATTTTTCCAGGGACTGAGGTGAGGCTGACTGGCCTGTAGTTCCCTGGATCCTTCTTCTTTCTTTTTTTAAAGATGGGCACTACATTAGCCTTTTTCCAGTCATCCCGGACCTCCCCGGATCACCATGAGGTTTCAAAGATAATGGCCAATGGCTCTGCAATCACATCCGCCAACTCCTTTAGCACCCTCAGGTGCAGTGCATCCGGCCTCATGGACTTGTGCTTGTCCAGCTTTTCTAAATAGTCCTGAACCACTTCTTTCTCCACAGAAGGCTGGTTACCTCCTCCCCATGCTGTGCTGCTCAGTGCAGTAGTCTGGGAGCTGACCTTGTGTCAAGGCTGTATCCCCACTTTGAACTTTAGGGTTCAAATGTAGGG